GAATTAGGTGTCATTTTGTGGAATGCCATTTCAGTAGGCACAATTTTAATAAACAATCACTATATTTGGGTTTGTCAATGTTCATATGTGTAAACTCATGTAACGAAAGGAATTTCGACCGTCGACTTCTAGATTTTTGGCGTATGTTGTGTAAATTTAAGGGGTCAGATGTTCATTCACCAAATTATCATGGGAAAAAATTTTAATCATTCTGAAAATTTTGTATATAAACGCAATTATATTAATTTCAATTTTTTCCTTTATACCAAATTTGTATATTTTTGGTATATTTCTTAAGAAACAAAAATGGCCGTCGCGGAACAGTCAGGAATACTTTCCGGGCAAAACCCGACAAAGTATAATTTGAGCGACCCCTTGGTATTGTTCATCATACAGGTAAAAATCCCCTTCCATGCCAAAGAAAATGAAACTTTAGACGTGACCACTAAAACTATTTTCAATCATCTTTGAAAAGGTCGTGATCATCATTGTAACCACCCGCCTCCTCCACCTCGCTCTGGTATGGCTTCGTCAACCGCGCGTCATCGCAGAAGTCATTGGTGGCATCATACTTGGTCCGTCGGTTTTTGGACAAATTCCAGGGTTCCAGGATGCGATCTTTCCGGCCGCGTCAATGCCTAATCTAAACCTACTTGCAACGTTGGGTTTAGTTCTCTTTCTGTTCATCGTCGGTGTCGAGTTAAATCCAAAACTTTTATTGAAGAACGTTAGGGTTGCCTTAACAATATCTGCTGCCGGAATCATTTTACCATTTTCCCTTGGTATCGGTGTTGGATATGGGTGGGAAATGTGAAACATAAGTGAGAATATATCAACGAATTTACGGAAAGCTGCATCGTTGCGTAGGAAACGTTTATCACGTGAATCGCGTACATTATTATAATAGATATTATTAGTATTATTGCGTATTGATATCCGGGTATTTTCTTAATTTTACGTGGTACCGTACTCCTTAGGCACCCCTTGAATATGCAAAAGATCTCGGGTACTTGAGTTAGGTTAGGTGCATACAATGATGTTAGGGCTGGCGGCGAGCCTGTTTGCTTGTCGGCGCAGATTAGTCATGGGCCCCAATCATGGTTCGTGACACGATCGTCTCTAGAGTTTCTCTTAACAAAGACATTTTAACCACAACATTAGATCAACGTGT